TGTTACAAATAGCTTAAATAGGGCTTACTATAATGGTTTATAAGGAAGGGGGATTCATGAAATGGGGAAAATAATGAAAAATGAAAACAAGTACAAAAGACCAGTACTTTTGGCTGTCTATTTGCATTTAACACAGCAGAAAGTCTCTCAGACATGGAGGGGGCCAGGTTGTCTGTAGCGGATTGTCTAGCACAAAGTCAAGCTTTTATTGCACTGGAAATTTATTTTTCACCTTGTGCCAATGTCTTCTGATAGGTGCGGAAAGATTTTCGATAGGATTGAGAGGCAGTCATGTTCCTCCTATTGTTTAATTATTTGCGTTGGGACTGTCTGTGTAGTCAGAGACAATTTTGTTTTTTTTTTCTGCAGGTGTTGGCGACGTCTGGGCACAGGGCGGGATGCCATCGGGATCCCATTCGAATCATCCAATGGAAGAAGAACTCGCATCCAATCTAGTCAAAGTAAGTTCCGAGACCATCATGCTTTTGATTTCCCAACTCTACTGGTTGGTGGCATGTCCCCCCCCCACACAGGTGGAGGCGATGTGGTTGGTAAGAGATTTAGAAGGACAGACAGGCCATATCTACGGCAGACCGACCATTGCAGGTCACGATGTCCACCGCGCGCCCTGGGCGTGGAAATGGCGTCTTGACGCAAGGTTGTTTGTAGTGGGGAAGACTTTCGAAGCGCCTACCGCACTCACCCCTTCCTCGCCCATATTGCTCCGATTTTGAGACAGCATCAAGACGAGCGGATGTGGGCACGGGGCGCAAAAGCTGACAAAACTGGACAGCCTGTCTACGTATGCCACAGATGACCTGATCACCCGTACATGCGTCAGGCTTTCACGAGAGTTATTCGAGCCTCAGCTAAGTGACAGTGCCATAAGGGTCACATTAATAAGGAGCCATTACAGCCGGACTGTAGGTCTTCCAGTCACTCCGCTTTACTCCCACGAGGACTAGTCAAGCGCTTCTGATACCTTGTAGGCATGGCTACTACGGCACAAGGATCCACCCCTCCAAGAAAAGTGGCCTTAAGTTTTCGAATGAAACTGTGGAAAAACAACTGCCTTAGCACCTAATAGGCAGGCTGGCAGTGCAATGTTCACAGTGTATATTGGACTCACGTGAGTATGAAGTCCAGCGGTCCAACTTGATCGCAGGACGGAATACAGGCTGTTTTCCTTTCCCTATCGAGGCCTTATAGTCTTATTGCGATGCGTGACCAAGTCTTCTTGTCTTAGGTCTTGGCTATGGATAACTAACGACGTCAAACAAGTCAGACATAGCCATTTCAGTTCCTCAGTTCTTTGGCCCCAACTGCTCTCCTTTAGACTTTTACGGGATGGCATCCAACTTTAAGAAAGAGAAACACCCTCATACCCTCTAAAAGCACAGCAAAAGCTCTGCCGTTGGCTAATGAGTTGACACGTTTTCAGTGTTTTACGCAAACGCGTGGTATGTTGCGACGACTGTTAGGGGGGGCATATGGGTTACACGAAGCTCAAATGACGGGTTGATCGATGGAGGATATCGTTACGCGAATGTGCGTACACCACGCCTGTCAGGCATGCATATAGGCCCAAATTCAGTTGCCTCACCTGAATTAGCCGATAATCACTCCCGGATTATTGACTGCTCATTGTTGCGCGGCCGTCTGCCAGGTTTCTGGACCGCAGCTTCAGGGTGAAGCCGAATCGTCCAAAATCTGAACGTTGA